TGATTTAAATAAAAATCGAAAATAGTTAAACGTACATTAAACGTGTGTTAAAAAATGCGTATAATTCGTCTTTTTTCTTTAAAAAATCAATTATTTTATTAATGTTTATTATTTTTTCGCAACAATTTTCTCAATATAATTTATATCATTTTCTTAGAATCGTGTATATTGTTTATTTCCTAAAAGCAGTTGTGATATATCAAAGTAAAACTTAACACAATATTGAAAAAATTTAATACTCGATCGAAAAGATGTGATTAGTTTATTTGACAATATTGAATATTTTCGATGCATATAAATTTTGGAGAATTAAATTCAAATATATCAAAATTGGTCAATTAAATAAAAATCTCAACCCCATTTAAGTGACAAAATATCATACTGTGACTCAATTTATGTTTGGCTCCATTAATTTTTTTTTTCTCTCTTTTATTTTTAATCGCAGAATCTTTCATAAAATAATATTACACGTAAATAAAAAAATTGATTAAATTAATTGGATATTGAACAATAAAAAAGATTTGATTAATTACATGATTCAATTATAATGAATATAATTATCATCAAATACGTCCTTTATAAGTAAAATAACCACTCGGACTAAAATAATGTTTGATATATAAATTATGAGCTCCAATAATTTGGATTTTTAATCCATGCATCAAGGGAACATTTATCCTATCTCCAGAAAATACATTTCAATTATAGCAATACAAAATTGAGACCAACTAATTTTTCATCTTGATTATTTTAACATTTGAAAATATTTTATATATAAAAGAAATTCGATAATTTTTAGGAATTTTTTTCTTATTGTTACTTTTTCCTCTCGATCAATTAATTTTTTAAATAATATAATAAAATTTTGACGTCATTTAGAAAATTTCCTAATAAACTTTTAATTTTTTTTTTCAAATGTCAAAAGTGTGTAATATATGAAAATTACATTTCCATTTATCATTTTAAACAATTAATCAAATTTGTACATTTATTGAGAAAAAAGAATTGATATTTTGACATATATATATATATATATATATAGGTAAGTTTTTATAATATTATAGCAAGAACAATAACAAATTATGTGCCTCTACATTTTTTTGGTAATCTCTAACAGCAGGGATCCAGTTGATGTTGTCATCCTCACAATCCGACCACCACACAACCCGTCACCAACGACATTATTTTCAACAATGTTAATTTTTTTTGGATTATGAGTTTTATTTTTTATGATGTTTCAAAAATTTATCGATTATATTTAACATTTATGATGTTTATCCTTCACTATTTAGGTAGATTATTGAGTGTAGTAATGATCTAAGTGTTTTTTCTAATTAAAATACTTTGTTCTTGCTAGAAATGATTATTTTCAGCAAGAGAAAAAGGAGTTGGCGACTGTTGGCTATCCAATAGTCGTTGGACCCGACCTTTAACAATCGGGTCACAAAAACAATTGGCCGGCACCAACCAACTGTTTGTGCTGACTCAAATCTTTAATTTTTTTTTTTTTTTTTTAGACCCACTTTTTTCCTTCATTTTTTTATTGTTTATCAATTCTTTCCTCTTTATGATAATTTAATTTTTTTCAATTTTAATTAATATTTATATTCTTTATTTAATTTTTATAATTTTCTTTCCAAATCTTTACTTTTTTTGGGAAATAGTTTTAAAATTTCCTAATTGTTTTCTTCATATTTTGAATAACTTTTTTTTCAATTTTAAATTCTTTTCATTTTATGATAAATTAATTTTTTTTTTCAATTTCAATAAAATAATATTTATATTCTTTGTTTAATTTTTATAACTCCCGTTGTTTAATCTTTTTTTTTGCATTTATTATTATTTTTTTGGTAATAATTTAAAAAGTTTCTTTATTGTTTTCTTCTTCTTATAAATTGTTTTTTTTTTCAATTTCAAATACTTTTCAATATTTTTGTAATATTTTTAATATTTTTACAATTTTCTTTAATTTATTTTTCTTTTTAATTTTTGATCATTAATTTGTACATATTTTAATTAATTATTATTATTTTCTTTATTTTTAAAAAAAATTAATTATTTTTAGTTCATTATAATTTTTTTAATTTAAAATGATTTTTTACATTTTTTATTATTTTCTTTAATTTATTTTTTATTTTTTATATTTGTCTGTAATTCTTTTTTCTATTTTTCTCCTTTAATTTATTAAATTCTTTCTTTCTTTCTTTCTTTTTATTATCATCAGTATAAAACGAATCTATTTCTTACGTATAGTAGTTATAATTCATTTCGCTTAATTTTTCTGAGATTATGCTTTATTCCATTATTTCTATAAAAAGGTTTTAACATTTGAATTTTTGCGTAATGGAGTACCATTTCGATGCCGAGTTGAGACAGATGGCAAGAAAATGTATTTGGAACAATAGATTTGATAGTTTTACTATTGCATTGAGTATAGTAATGATTTAAATGTTTATTTTAATGAAATGCCTTATTCTTGTCGAAATGGTGATTTTCGACAAAAGAAATGGAGCCAACGACTATTGGCTATTCATATTGTACTGAGAAGGGTCAACTTTCAACTTGTTTTGTAAATCATGATACAATTTTTACATATGAAGTACTCGATGTCATGGTAATTGGAATATCACTCATAAATTTTCATATCCATCGATCATTTTCATCAAATTCAAAATTATCAAAATAACAAATCAAGATTACAACTATATCTACATGACGAAGTAGAATTTTTAATTATAAGAGAAATTAGTTGAAAAATCGTCCCAACAACTCGGCAATAGAATTTTTAATTTAAAAAAAGTTTTAGCCAACCGTTAGTAGCTGATTGCCTAAGGTTGTTAACAGTCGACTGTTAAGGGTGGCCGAAATAGTACATTACCATGAATCTTATCTGGCAAAATATGCATGTAGATGATTTGTTTTCTTGTTTATACTTAAAAAAATTTATGAATCTATTAAAATTTTATTTACATGTTAATCTATGTAAGATTTATCAATTAAAAAAGTATACTAATTTGACAAAAATAAAACTAAACATACGAAAATATACTTATCGATTCGAAATTATAGATATAACAAATTTTTTTTATTTAGTGTTTTTTTTGGATAATTTTTTTATATTTTGAGGTTGATGCAGATAAAAATGAGAGTTTTTATCTGTGTTGAAATAAACAGATAAAAAATAGCTGATTTTAAAAGTTTAAGTGGAAATATTTGATTTTTACTTGTTAACTAAAAGAATAGCATTATTTTTTGAACAAAATAATATTTTAAATTGTATAATATATTTAATGACATCTTTATCTTTTAACTATCTATTGTGAAAATGTACAATTGTTAAATTTTGAAGACTTTTAAAGGTTTTGATGTACATTTTTTAAGTGATGACTTTTGTGAATTTCGTGAATCTTTTATAGATTTGTATGGAATTATAGGAAATCTTTTGTAGATTTCTATGGACTTTCATTTTAAAATTTTTATAAACATTTGTAGAATTTAAAAAACTTTTGAAAACTTTCATTTGAAATAGAATTCACGTAGACCTAGTACAATGGTGTGAAATTCTCATATACGAAGTGTTAGTTCACAATTTTCCATCCTTTCCCTTCTTCCCATATAATATGAAAAAATAAAAATTTAAGACCTTAATTACATAAATAATAATAAAAATTATGCATATATATGATTCAACATTATTAGTATAGTATACTTTTAAAAATAAATAAAAATCAATATATTTAAATTTGATTATAAATTTTTCATATAAAAAATTATAATTTAATAAAAAATAAATATTTTTCCCAAAAAAATGAATGAAAAAAGAAAAAATGCTACAAGAATCCAATTTAATTTTTTCATAAAAAATAGATATAAATTATAAGAGAGAGAAAGAAAGAAAGAAAAATGAAAATAAATATAATCGATAGAAAAAAATAAATGTTAATTATACATGTCCATAGAAATTTAAAGGAAAAAAGATTGATTTTTTTTTTTTTTGAAAGTCTTCAAAAGTCTCGTAATTAATGAAAGACAAATTTTAGAATTATGCAACTTGTACATAAAAATAATATATAAGAGATTACATAAAATGATGTGGAGAGAAAATATTGGATTAAATAGTTGATTGTGTTTTAAATTGGCCAATGATTGACGACATGTGACATTATGTAACTCATTGTATTAAGTTTGATATACATGTAACAATATTTCAAATTTTATGAGTACTTTCTGTTTAAAGTTAGTACTCCAAATATTTTTATAAAAGATTGTTAAAGTCATTAAAATTTGAAAACCTTGATTTATAAAGACTTTTAAAAAGTTTTAATTGAGTATCCTGTAATTTTTTTGAGATTTTTTAAAAGTCTCAATTGAATACATCGTAATTTTTAAAAACTTTTTAAAAGTATATAAAAGTCTCAAATAGATATACCGTCAATTTTAAAGAGTTTCAAAAAATCTCAATTAAATACCTATAAATATTTTAAATCCCAAAAAATCATTATAATGTATCAATTGAATACAACTCCCATGGGATTTCACTGAGCCAATTTCAAAGGTACCCTTGTGAAAAGAAAGATATAACGGGCCGGGCTCCCAATAATTTGCTGTTTAATTTTCGTGGAAATGATTCTACTTTCCAACACCCCCACCTCTGCCCTTTTTCACACGGACGCTGCGAAAAATTTCGCTTTGCTCTGATCTTTCGATCATCGTTGTTCCCTTATAATGGTTATGCTCTCCCTATGTATATGTGTGTGTGTGCATATGTATGTATATTCATTAGTATATTTACCAGCCAAGCTTTTTAATTTTACGTTTTTTCTGTCCTTTAGGGTTTGTTTGCTCTGATTATTGTGAGAATTTGTAAAATATTTTTCAGTTCCTGAAACCCTTTTTTCCTTTAGGCTCCATGATGTGGTTATGCTGTGTTTTCGTTTGAAATTTGAACGTATATGCTTGTTGTTGGTATGAAGATAAATGGTGAATTAAATCTAGTATTCTTGCTTACCATGTTTATTTTAGCGGTATTTCTTAATTATAAACACTTATTTACATGTTTTAATTAAAAAAAACTGATTCTATCAGTAATAATTTTTTTATTTTTTGTTTTTTGCTGTTATATTGAATTCTGGTCTCACTTTATTATCAGGTAGCAAAATCCTATAATAAAATAAATATGTATGTTCAAGTGTGTTACATGAAATGTACCAAAACCAAAGCAAGTCACCCCCGAGAGAAATAAATGAATAACAAAAGATCTTGGGAAGATTCAAAGAAGGTTTCCTGCGCCTGTATTAACTGCATGTATGTAGTTATCAAAACTGAGAGTATGATAGACGTTCATGTACAAATCTACCATCGGAAGAACATTGTAATGGTGTTTTGCCTGCTCAATACTTGAGTTATATTTAAGTGTAGATATATTTTGGTAACACAGTAGGCAGAGAAAAGCAATTACATTTCTTTTAAGACGTTAAATATTAGAAATCATATTTAAAGAGTACTGAAGTCCCTACAATATTTATTTCTTCCGATTTTTGTTACTATTTCGTTTGAAAATTGTTGCTCTTGTCTGTTGTGGAATTTGTTAGGCCTTCTTTTCTACATGGATGGAAACCAAATGGAATAGAGTTTCTCTTCATGAAGTGGCTTTTTTTAGGTTTAACTAACGGTAAACCTACAAGGGAGTGATAAATTGATAATTATGTGTTAAGTTGCTATATGAAATGTTTTTCCCTCCAGGAAATGATTGGAATTCCTTTTTCTCCAATACACTTCTACTGACTTTCACTTATCAATTTGTCATTATCGACTGACTTTATCATGTTTTACTTCCTTAGTTACTTCAGTTACAACAACAGAGCAATATTATTTTCTCTACCACTGGTTAACTCTCTCTCTCACTCTCTCATTCTGCAGAAAAGCAAAAATAAAACTGCTTTGGTTGTCAATTCCAAACCTTTGCTCCTCCCCTGCTGTCAACTGTTTTATACCAACTCCTGCCCTTATCCAACAGTCCTCCATGGTCCGCCCACTTGAAAACTGATTCATTCTTATTCTCTTTGCTCTTGGTAGTTAGGTGGGTTTACAACAATGAAGCCACTTTATATTTTTTAAGTCAGTCAATTTAAATGTATCATTTGAAGAAAAGCTTCTCTATTTCTGAGTCACATCTCCTGCTATTAACGAATGATGCATGTTAAAGGCCATTTACTTTCCATTTGGGTTCATTCTTTCCCAATCTGAAAGGCAACCTACATGGTTGTTCATGATTCCTTAGTATTGCTGCAGTGTACCATCCTTGACACTTTCTTCCATGACTCTTTACTGGAAAATTGTGATTGAACTTTTGTTTTGGCATGATTTATCCTTTTGATTGGTTCTTCTACGTGTTACTTATGTTGGATTTGTGTTATATGCAGTCTAACAGGCACACTATTATTCTTATGCAAGCATCTCAGAACAGAGCAACTCGTACTTTTATGGACTTTGATTCAATTAGTCAAGCGATGGATGGTATTCTTTAATTATTGTCATTGCTTATATATTTCTGACGGTTACCCTTATTCATCTAATTCATTTTGTCATATAATGTACTTGGTTTAGAATGATGAATATTTTAAAATCTAAAAACTTACACAGCTTCTTCTTCTTCATGGCAAGCAGGTCATTAGGGAAAAAAAAAAAGAAATAATGCTAGAAAATATTACAGATCATGCACGTTGGTAAAATAAAATTTTCGAACCAAGACCGTAAAGTATAAAAATATTATAGTTCCATGTGTTATTTTCTCATCATTTTACTTAAAATTTGTACTTCATTAGTTTACAGGCGAATGTGATCGGAATAACTCTATTACATCTGGTCTGTCCTAGAAAAATTTCTTTTTTGGTATCCTTAGTACATACTGTACGTGTTATTTTGTGGCTTTATGTAATGTTTGGTAAGGATGACTTGGGTAGGACTATAACATAAAAATGGATGGAAAAAAAGGCTAGGGTTGGGGTGCAAATCATAAATCATGTATCAGTAAATCCTGTTTAGCATGTCAAAGCAAGCCAATTGGTATAATTTGAAACATATGTTATGAATCTGTCATGTAAGAGGATATGTTAAAGTGCTGGTTGAGATGTTATGTTATCATATCAAGGGTGATACACATTATATTACATGCTGATATAATTGAGCAAAGTATTAGCTCGGGGCACTCTTATTCTCTCATCTTCCTCATGTTTGTTATGTCTGGGTTCTAGGCCTTACTCAGATGGGAGTGTGTGAGGGAAGAGAAAAAGAAAGAGAGATCTCGTTGGCGAGGTTGATGGAGATAAAGATTAGAATTGTCTGTTTATTGTTCAATTTTTGAGAAGAAACAGAAGTTTGAACGGAAGTTCTGGGGGGAAATATTGACACTTTCATGTGGGAAGTTTTGGTTTTTTAGGTGGCAGAGGGGGCAGCTTGATTTTGGCGGCCAGTTTAGGCAATATCTAAAACTCTGCCAAAGAGTTGATGCTGAGGAAACCATGGTGAAATGAATGGGATCAAGCATGTCTCAATTAAGCCCCACTTGGCCCCCCATTAATTTTCATTCCATTACATTTCATTTTTCTCTCTCCTATTTTTAACCACAGAATCTTCCATAAAATAAAAACTTTTCTTTCTTTTTCAGCCACTTATTTTTCAAAAAAATACTATTCTACACATTTTCATTACCACAAAATGGGCCCAAACGGGGGCTTAGTTTTTTCGACTTGGGAAGAGGATTTTATCTAAAGATCAATGTTCATAAAGATGGTGTTGGCAGAACACAAATCACACTGAGCGGTGGAAGGAGCTTGGGGCTATGGAGAAGAAGAGCTCTTGCTTCATGTAATTATGCCTTTGTAATTTCAAGCTTTAGTAATTTGAGCTATGATGAGGGCTGAATACTCTTGGTTAGGACTTGGGAGAGAGTGCCCTTCTAGGTAGCGAAGAAAGGATCAAAGAGAGGAGGGACGGTGAAATTTCAGTTGGGATGGGCATAGGAGAGAAAACCTAGTCTCTTGAAACAAAAATGTGTCAATGGCCTGGAAAAATGCATATGACATCACTCACTTGCAGCATAATAAGGGTAAAATAGAGTTGGTTATTTGGACTAATGGGAGCTTATAATTTATAAGAACTACTAGGATAGAAAGAAGGTGTAGGCTTTAAGCGTAACCCTGGCTAAGATTTTGTTTATGTTGAATTTTGACATTTATCCTGGTCATATGATTTTGTGATATACAATAAGACTATAAAAATAAGATCAAAATCTTAAGTATTCCTCGTTAACTGCAACATGCTTGTTTTAGACAAATAGGTCAGTGAACTCCAAAACATCAGAATCATAGATTTATTTTTTGTGTGTAGATCAGTTATCTTTTCAATTTTGGGCTGAAAAGTTGTGCTATATCTGTGGCTCATGGGTGCCCTCTCCCATAGCTTCCAGATGTGCCGCCACCCCCCCCCCCTTCTCCCCAAAAAAAAAAATAATAATAATAATAATAAAAATAAAGCAACCCTTAACAAATACCATCTTCTGTGTATTCTTTTTACAGCATAATTAAAACTATGGATGTATAATTGCATAATGTCAGGTATAACTATGGATGTATAATTGCATAATGTCAGGTATACATGAATCTTTCATTCGTGAGATCGATAAAATACCGCTGTTAATAATTTTACCTGGGGAGTATTAGAAAATGCAAATTACATTGGCTGTTGCGTCTGAAATATGAAAAATGCCTTCATAAGCAGGATAATTGAGTTCCATTATAGATATTGTCATTATGCTTTTCAAAATCCTAGTGCACTATTATGGTTCACACTGCTAATGATTATCACCTCTTTCTCTGCAGGAATTTGTGGACTATATGAAAGGAAACTTAAGGCGATCAATCCAGCCATCAGAAACCTCTCTTATGATATTTCTGATCTTTACAATTTTATTGACGGTCTTGCAGATTTGAGTGCATTAGTGTATCTCTCTTTGTCTCTCCTCATCTCTTGCTCACACACTTTTACACTGATGCATGCACACTAAGGCACTCGCATGCATAACGACAAACATAAACTTGGCCATGCATGGTACAGATGTACTGCTTTGTTGACTTCATAAATCATAACCTCTTCTGAACTCTGCATTATGTTTAACTGCTGCTCTACGTGATTTGAAATCTTAAGCCGACCTCTCTGACATTGTGATGATAGAATCCATGATACTGTAAACTTTTTGGATTACATGTAAATTTTTTGCTTCTGTAATTTCATATCATACTAATTGTTATTCTGTAGGTCTTTCTTATTACATTAAATCGAGCTGCACCTTCCAACATTCACCACTTCGCGTACACATAATTTGAAGGCATTTGCTACTCTTGTAAGTAATGTTTAATGATATCATTTCTGCAGCTATGATCACTCAATTCAGGCTTACCTTCCATACGACCGTCAGTGGATCAAACATAAGACATTACAGCACTTGGAGAAATTGGCTGGTTGATGAGTACTGCGTTCGGATAATCTCTAATTGGATTTCTCAAGAAGGCAGGAAGTGAAGAGTCAGAGTCTTGGTTGGATTAGTATTTCAATCCTCAACTCACGTATCTAAGCTTGTATCTTATGTTTTCTTCCCCTATGAAAGAAGTACAAGAAACTTGTGGCATACGAGTTTTATTCACATCAACTGTTGCTGAAATTAGTCCGCTTCATGTGTAATACTCGTTTTACAATTGTGATAGGCAGAATTTATCTAGCAAATTTTATGGAAAGAATTGAAATTTTATCGGTTGTGGCTTCATATTGTTGAGAACCTTTGTATGAATTCGTGTAATCTCTAATCGAAACATGTTTTATATATATATATATATATATATTTTTTTTTTTTTTTTTTTTTTCAAAATAACTTTGACATCCTAGTACATGGCACTCATCATGTAGCCTTTGATTTTTCCAACATCCTTTTACATCACACATCAGATTTTGACACACAAGAAGCTGTGCAAACTCTTGAAATAACCATAGTTAATTTGAGAAATGTTGAAGGAAAGAGACAAATAAATAAGAGCATATTTAAGAAATTATCTATTTTTAAAGAGTATATTCTCTCATTTAGAGAGCATTTATAAATTTAGAAAATTAAAATGTTGAAGCAATCTAACAAACTCTTTATTATTTACAATTAATTTTATTACCTCCAAAAAATATTTAATATCTTCTATTTTAATGAGCGTTACTTTAGATTATTTTATTGTATTTTTACATTGAAATTTGAAACACTTTGAATACATTTAATTATAGAGAATGAGTTTAGCTCTTCAAACCACTCTCTAAATTGAAATCTTAATTCAAAGAGTCTCTTGGTGTATGATTTTAATGATTGATTATTTAAAATAGAGAGCATTTCATGTTTAAAGTATCTCTTGAATATACTATAAAGGAAAATGCCATCCTTAATGTAAACAATAATGTCCATCTAGAATAATTCTAATTAATTCTAATAGTTGTGTGCTAGAGACCGGTTTGCTAAATGGTAGGGCAATGACATATGTTGCTATGACTTGATTTGAAGTTGACGTCAAGGAATTTGAGATCGACTAAATTTTGGAATAGTTAACATCTGTAAATTTTAAGGGATGGATCGAGGAGCTTTTAAATAGAGATCGAGGCTTGCTGACTGATGGAAGAAGATGATGGCCGTTAAAAGACATTAGGATTGTGAGTACTAGATTTGCAATTTTACTGTGAAAGATTAGGGAAAATTGCATAATTGGGCTCTAACTCTAGTTTATTGTTGGATTAGCAAATTAATTAGTAATCAATCTTAGATCATAATTGAACAGTCAGCCTTTCACTTGTTAGGTCATGTGATGATCTTATATGAGGGACTGATTGTGCAACTATGATGACCTTAATGATCAAATAACCTTTTTCTTTATAAGTTTTCTACTCGAACAATTTTTTCAAAACGTATTCTAAAATTGTTAATTGTGTGCGATTTGAAATGCTTTTAACAACCTTCAATCAATTTTTACGCACCATGGGTCAATATATTGTCTGCACAAGAATAAATAGATTTTGATGTTTAATTATTTATATCAACATCATGTTATGAAGATTTAGTTTACACTTTTCCTATATTTATCGTGTTTAAATTAATTAAAATGATTAAAAAATCAAACCTACTGTTTGTACAGAAAACTTCTGCCAAAATTTTACCAGAAAACACTGAGTAA